GCGCAAGTAGATACTATATATCAGGGGTGGCCACAACGAAGCTCGCGAGCCGCATGCGGCTCTTAAATCAATTTCGTGAGGCTCTTGGACCGAACTTAGACTAAAATTAAAAGAAAATAAATGTTCCTTCATTTGTTTTAAAATGAAAAATGTATCTTTAATTTATAAACATTGTTTTACAATGTGTGGCTCACCTCGAATTAACTTTATAAATTTGTGGCTCCCAAAGTTAAGGTTAGTGGCCACCCCTGCTAATATATTCAATATTGTTTAATATACATAGTACATTGAGCAATTTAACGGTACTTCACCTCCGAAAATACAGATCCGCGGAATCCCCGTGCTAGTATAAAAAAATTATGCCTTAACCCATACACAGATATAAAAATAAGAATACCAGCCAAAAATTAAAATACCGTAAACCCCYTTGGAAGCTGGCACAAATACTAGTTAAGGAAAACTATARCCTTAACTCTAAATGGACCAGTGGCATAGGTACACTACGAGGAGGAAACGTATAGGGATCAGATCCTCTCCTGTAGGCTCTTTTTTGCTAACATTATGTTAGATGCACTTTAATGTAATATTTTTTCATACAGTAATCTATCGGAGTATTGGAATTTGACAATTTCGATCAATGTTGAATACCATTATAATTTTTTTTTCGTTTATTCGTAGCAAAATAATGTTTATTTTATCGAAATGGTTGATGATGACGACTATGATAATTATACTTTATTATAGCTTATCTAATTATTTATAGAGACAAAACTATATAATATAATATTTATGTATAGGCTGGACTAAATAAGCTATGCTTGCACTGTATAATATGTCTGTGTTTAAAATGTTATCGGATGTTATCGTTGTTATTCTCATTAATTTATGAGAATGAGAGTATAAAGTAGGTAATTATCGCTACGGGTTCAGTTCAAACTTTTTACTTTATGGAATATTGAAGTAGATAATCTTCCATATTGTGTTTGATGACAGGGTGTTTATCCTTATACATGAAACTAACAGGGATGGTAGCCAAAAACATGTGTAATCTAAATAATCTAATAGTGCAAGTTTCAAAATGATCGCGCAATTGCAACAATTTCAAATTAATTTTAAGCGAAACATTTGCAATAAATGCCGGATAAATCTTCCTATTCGATTAAACTAAAGCCGTCTTCTATATTGTACTACGGTCTACGAGCTTATCAAGTGTTAACATAAAATTGCCAGGGCTGATRTCCCACATGCCAAATCAAACTGTGAAAGTATCAAATCGATAGCGTTGTTCTACAATTTTTAATTAATTTATAAAAGTGAAATTTGCATAACTGCCGGGTTATTCCACGTAATGTCTGAAACTCCAGCCGTCTGCTCAGTGACTACAGCCTGCAGTCTACAGAGCCTTTGATCATTATAGGTACATGAAACTACCATRCCTTATACAACACAACATTTTCAATCTGCATGAGAAATTGAGGACGTTTCAAGCCGATAGTGTGTACTACGATTTTTAATGAACTTTTATATAAACGGAAAYCGTTAAAATTCGCAATACTGTTGTGAGGTACACAYCGTAGACCGAGTCTTCATATTTAATAGGTATTTTACAATTTGTAAACACATTTACACACGAATATCTCGCTATATAATATACTGCAAGGTCTTACGGGAATTTTCCAATTTTACCCTCTCATGTAGCTATTATGTCGTTTTTTTTTTAATCCCCCACTTTCAGAAATCATGTCAATACCACTGAAATGGACTGATGAATGGAGATTAGATAACCTTGACAAACTTTACGTCATTACCAACTACTACGGAAGGAATGGCCGGCCTTAAGATATAAACTTARGACTGGCCACGGAAAATATGATGTATAAATGCCAAATGGCCACTTAGGGATATACCACAATGCGACTGCGGACATGATAATCATACAGCCAATCACATTGTGGAAGAATGTCCGGTACGCAATACAAAAGACARAATGAAACACCTCCACAATAGGTTACAAGCAATGACAACAAAATGGCTAACCAAACTGGACATCAAAATCTAAGACTAAACAAATAATATCTCCATTCACCATCAAATCATTCATACATATTTTAAATTGTTTTATATTATTTCYCTTATCTATTTAACTTATTACTACTAGATACTTTATGTTCCTACATTTCATCAAAATTGTATGTTTATATTTTTTTATTGCTATAGTATTAGCTAATTTAAACAC